GTTTGTTGAATTCTCTCTCAATGATGGACATGAGTGTTGGTTATTCCATACTAAGTCTGATAATCAATCCAAATTGTTATGAAATGTGCTAGGCATTTCATCTGACATTTAGGTTTGCAAAGCACAACTAGAAACAGAGGTCGTCTCCTCCTCAACTTCAAAATGTTAAGGAGAAAAAGAATAGGAAAGTACGTGTATATATATATTTAAGATTTGGAATCTGTTTGCTTGGCACTTAGAGCCTTTAAGATGTTCGAATGGATTGGGCATGAGTAGGTTGAAAAATGGCAAGAACAGCTTTCTACACATAATATAATTCATGCTCCGTTATGCTCTTTAAAGTTTTTGGTGACATCAAAAGGAAAACATTAATAATTATGTTAAATGAAAACTTACTGAACTTTCACAATAATAATTTAGTTTCTCATTAATATTTAATACACTAACATTACCTTAAAAATATCAAAGCCCGTACATTGTACGGGCATTTAACTAGTATTCTTAAAAAATGGGAGTATTTATGAATTTTCAAAAACGAGTTTAAAATTTACAAAGAAAATGGAAAATACCAAAAGAGTCATTTTGGCTGCTTTCAGTTAAAATTAAGCCAAAACTACATTTTTTTTATTTTTGAAAACAATTTTTTTTTTTTAAAATGACAAAAGAACGTGTTTTCAAACATTTAAAAATGGACACTCAAAATGAATTCAAAACTAAAAATTGAAATACGAAGAAAACATCACATGACCATTCAACTTTGATATGTAACACTTTACAGAAGCGTTACTCATACCAAAGAAGCAGCAATTTGCGATTTTTAAATTGAATAAAAGCTGGTAATGCAGGCTTGATTAAAAAAAAAAGACTCCACATAAAATTAAAACAAAAATATCGTTTACTTTTATTTGTTTATTGATAGGCCATTATCCTCGATCTAACTGTAATAGCTGTTCTAATCCCTAAAAATTCTTCAGTTAAGCTATTCACACAGGGATTATTGACAGGGATTGGTGACCGAGATGATGTGGGAACTTTTGATTAGCCTGTTTTTTGAAAATAAAATTCCATCTCCCAATGATTTAATGCCAAGTGTGTTGGTCACTTATTCCTGTCAATATTCCCTGTTTGTGTAGCATTGTTCAAAATTCTTACACAAAAGTTCACATTTAGAGCTTGTTTGGGAGAGATTTTTGGGGAAAGAATTGATTTTGAATAGTGATATGATGGGGAAAGTGTGATTGAAAAAGAAGAAAAATTATTGATGTGATGAAAAATATTATTTTATTGAAAAATGTGTGGTTGAAAATGAGAATTGATTTACTATAGAAAAATGTAATCCCTCCCAAACAGGCTGTAAGCATGAAAATGAAACAACCAATATGACAGCTTACAGATTACGATGGCAAGTCAAGTCAAAAGTAGTGATGGTCGACCGAGAGTGGACAACCTGCATCATCGATTACGATGCAGACCTGGGTTATTATTAATTATTATGCAAGCTTACTAACTTTAGACTATGGGAACACTTAACACAGTCAAGTTCATGTTTGGACTCCATTGAATCAAAAATATATTTTTTTTTCAAAATTTATTTTTAACCACACATTTTCAATAAAATAATATTGCACATAAATCTAAAATATTTCTTTACTATTTAAACACATTTTTCTAAAAAATTAATATTCTAAAATATATTTTTTCCAAAACCTCATTTTAATGGAGCCCAAACAATGACTAAATTTGCTTTGATAATAGGAAGGAACTTAGGCTCTGTTTGATTCGCGT